CCGGCGGGGGGCGGGGGGGGGGCGGGCAGCCCCCTGGGCTCCCACTGATGGCCCGTGCTCTGCCCGCAGCCTGTTTGAGAGCGGCATCAACTGGGGCCGGGTGGTGGCTCTCCTGGGCTTCGGCTACCGCCTGGCCCTCCACGTCTACCAGCGAGGCCTGACCGGCTTCCTGGGCCAGGTGACCCGCTTCGTGGCCGACTTCATTCTGCATCACTGCATCGCCCGGTGGATCGCGCAGAGGGGCGGCTGGGTGAGTGCCCAGCGCTGGCAGCCTCCCTGTGCTGCTGGGCTGCCCCCCTTCACCCACCCCTCCCAGTCCCTCGGTGCCTGTATCCACTGCCAGCCCCTCTGACCCCCCCGTCTCCTGGCAGGTGGCAGCCCTGGACCTGGGCAACGGCCCCATCCGGAATGTGCTGATAGTTCTGGCTGTGGTTCTGTTGGGCCAGTTTGTGGTACGAAGATTCTTCCAGTCATGACCCCAGGAGGGGTCCTTTGGGGTCCCAGCTGAGACCCCTGCCTGGACTTCGGCCAAGACTTCTTCCCTCACCCGTCCCCTGCAGGGGTCCCCCTCAAGGGTACAGAAGCTTTAGCAAGTGGCACTTCAGCTTTGAAGGGCCCCTGCTCGGGGTCAGTCAGGCTGCAGGGGCACCCCAACATTGCATGGTGCTAATGGACCCCCTCTCTGGGCTCAGCTCTCTCTGATGGGCTTTAGGGAGGTTGATAACTTGGGGAAGCAAGAAGCTAGGAGGCACATTTCCCCAAGAAGTTTTTAATGGTTTTAGCTTTTTATAACGCCCTTAGGACACCCCCACCCCTCGTCCCCACCACTCTGCCACAGGCCAGGACATGGGATATGGGGGTTAGTAGGCCTATCCTGTATCCCCGATTCAGCTGTTCTGGAATGTCAGAGCTTGAGAGCTGACATGGAGCCCAGTCCTGGCCCTTCCAAAGCTTCATGTCCCCAACAGGGCTGGCCGGGGTTGGGGGACAAGGGCCTACTTAACTCCCCCGACCCCATCTATATGGCCTTGGCCGGCAGACTCTCAGGGATTAGGGGCCCGGGGTGTGGGGTGAGGAGGCAGACCGAGCTGTCTGGCTTTATCCACCAGGTCCCTCCCAACCTGCCTCCCGAGGTCCTCAGCCCTCTCCCTTCCCCTCGCCACTTGCTCCGAGGCGTCACTACTTGAGAAGGCTGCCTGCCCCCATCACTCCATGCCAGGGGGGCAGGGGCCTCCTTGCACAGACTGTAGGGTTTAGGACTGTGGTTTGTGATGGTCAGGGAAAGGGGTAGGGAGCTCATCTTGAGGTTTCTGAGAGAAGGGCTGTTAACATCACCAGAAACCCCAAGGG